AACAATATATATTTACAAATAGTCAAATCAGAAATTAAACAATTATACATTCATTGTAATTATATAATAAACGAAAGTTTATAAAGTGAATATTTTTTTTTTTAAAGTTATCTCTATGAAACTTGGTGAATCGGCATTTTGGCCATAAATTTTAAATTTTAGTCTCAGCGCCAATGTTTTAAATCATCTAAAAAACTGTTTAAACCGTTTTTTTTCACCTAAAGTATGTTTGAAATTCCTTGTAATATACTATTTCGTCTATTCTTGACGGGGATACCATCTATTAATCTTGCATATGCACTAATGAAACTATCCACTCCTCAAATCTTATCAATTATTTTATCTACAATTTTAATTAATTATAGAATTGTTGGTAGCATGCTCCTTATAATTTATTTCAAAATTTAATACTTTCAGATAATTGTCGGCAATTCTATCTGATGATACATGCTTCCAAAATGCATTGATTTTTCAGATCTTTTGCTTAAATCAATTTTCACTCGTTCTTTGATCATGTTCGGTTATTGATGTAGGCTCATCGTAATACCGTTATTAACATTTTCGTCTTTAGTCACATTGTAAGTGTCTTAGCTATAAAAATATGATGTGACACCAATAAGTGGTTACATCAAAATTTTGATGATGAATATATTTAGGCCGTTTGAAATTGATTCATCGTTTAACGTTATCCCCCTCCGTCTTCTGAGTCCCTCCCAAAATTAAACAAATAGAAACGACAAATTGATCGATATAATAGTCAGCGTGGCTGCCGGGATTTTCGGTATATTATGTTTAATTTTTATGTTTTTTTAATTTTTCCACCCTCCCCCCTTGTGTAAACGCGAAAAAAATAACATTAATCGAAGTTTCAATTTCAAACGGCCTTAATATGATTTTCCAAAAATATAAAGTCCATTGACTCTTCCAAATATATATAGTATAATTATTATCGTACAATTCTTTTGATCTTCTTGAAAAAAATTAAAGTAGCATCACATATCAATATTGAATTTCTTTTAAAACAGTATTTAAATTGATTTTTTTGGTATGAAGTATAAATCGTGATAAAAATCGTATTATCTATTACCGTTTGCCACAGCATACAGTATTCCCGTGATTAAGACCCGGGTATTATTCACCGCCCATCTGGCTTAATTCTTGAATAATACCCGGGGTATAACTATATTTAATTTATTACTTTCTATAATGTATTCCCAAATATAGTACCCAGTTCCTCACACAATACCCACGGATACTATTCAATTTTAAAAATGAAATTCTTTAATAAGACCCCGGGTACTGTATGCAGTGGCCAACGGTATATGGCCAGCATATACTATAGATAGAGCAACTCACGAAAAGAATAAGAGATAGGATTATAAGAGTTCTGTTTAAAAGCCAAGACAAGAATATTGCATTTCCTCTTGAAATTCTTAAATTATTGAAGTCATCATGGGAAAGTCGGCTAAATATTTTTCATTATTGATCGCTAAATTATTAAGATTATCGATTTTTTTTTAACAATAAAAATAAAAGGTTATTAATAGCATAAAAATAAAAATAGAGGTTGGAATCGAATATTCGATTCATTGAATATTCGAATTAATTCATATAAACATAAACTCAAATAAGTTCATAAAAATTTCGAATTTGTGACTTTACAAAATTTTAAAGTTTATTTTTGCAGTTATTGAAATACATTATTAATGCTAAATTAACAGAATTATTTGTCACTTATTATTACAAATTTGTTTCATTATCAGCGCTATTAAATTGGCCAATAAAATTAAATTATCATAATTAAATGCTAAAAAAAGTACTTATATTAGTCAAAAATTTGCATTAGTCGTACATTATCGACAATGTAAATAGCTTATTTTTTAACAAGCTCAATTTTGAAATAATAATTTATTTTTTAGCATGTACAGTAACTAGAAAAACGCGAAATTTATAGGTTAAAGCTTTAATAAATATGCTTCTTACCCTTAAATTTAAGAATTTATATTAAGAATTTGTAAAGATGAATATATGTATTTTTTCAATGGTGATTCAGAAATGTTCTTGCAGCTTCTAACAAAAATTAATAATAATACTAGGTACATAGGCAATTTATTTCACAATCCCTGAAAATAAGTAGATACATATAATAGAACTATATTGAATTACACATCTCTAACTCCCTTAGGATGTAGTAATTGCCTTATTCCGATTAATAAATCTTAGAGTTGCTATAATAGCTATTTCAATTAATACTAAGGAGACTACGCCACCAATAACTGATCCAATAATTAAGTTAGGATTTTTAGAGTCCGAAACCATGGTAGTAATAACTGTAGTAATTGAATTTCCTGGAGTTGTAGTAGATGTGGTACTTTGATTTGTAGTAGTCGTGTTGCTTGGAAAAGGTGCAGGCCATTGCAAATAACATTTATTAGTTATGTTGTATAAATCACGATAAATAGAATCATAATTATTAGAAAATGTCCAACCACCGTTATCCCAGTTGAACAAATAATCTTGACATGCGGTGTTCTTTGGGCAAGTAAAATGTGCATAGCCTTTATTTAAACCAGAAAGACCGGTAGGAGAAAAATTTGATAAATAATTTATTGCAACGCTAATGTTTTCAAATGGGCAGTATCCGAAAGTAGTATTGCTGGTTATTTGAACATCGCCAACAATACCGCCACATAAACCATTATGACAAAATACAGACTGAGCAATTCTTGAACAAATAAAGCCTTTACTTCCGCCTGGAAAATTACAACCGGTGTTTATATCATCGGAGTAGCATAGCGTTACGTTGCAGCAAACTTTAAATATCGTACTAGTTTCAACAAAAGAATAATCGAGCAAGTTATTATAGAGGACATTCTTATATAGGGTATCATTTTCATTTAAATCAATAAGACAGTTATTAAAAGCCTGGCCACTTCTAACTTGATTAATATTAGTTAAAATTAAAATTAAAAAGATAAACATTTTTTGATTAATTCAAATTAGTGAAAAAAAAAAGAAAGAAAAAACGAGAGAAAATAAATTCATTCTGAAATGGCAGTCTATTGATATGTGATGCTACTTTAAT